CATGGACTCTCTAACACCAAAGGTGTTATACAGATGTTTTTTTTATTCATATTACATCTGCGCTCTATTGTCTTGAGAGTTTATTTATCTATAATTCGTTACTCCAACACTGTCAATAGTGAATCGTGTGTTTTTTATCTTTGTCTGATGGATTTTGTTATATTTTGGTCGAGATATTTCTGCCATCGACTTTGGCCATGGTCACAACAATCATACTCGAGTTTTTTTCATGGAAAACAACTAGTCTGAAAACTTCAAAAGTTGTTCAAGCACAGAACTTTTAATATAAGTGGCTATATATATAACGACATTCACTGTCCATACTATAGTCATATACATTGTTCATTCGATAACTTTTTAAAGCCGCAGTTTTATCATAACCTCTTCTCAAAAACTTTTTAAAAATGCAATCATTCTCATACATCACAATCATACACTAACGTGTTCGCACTTCGATGAAAATCATGATATAAGCTTTAATTCATCATATCTAGCGCAAAATAGACAAAAAAATCAAATTCTCCTAAGTCGTTTACATGTAGCTTCCACTGGATCCACAAAATACCGTTTGTGTGATAAAATGAGAATACCATCCGAGGGTTAACTTACAACACAAAAACCTTCATTGTAAGTGGCTTATAAGAAAAACAAAACAAAGATTATTACATGTATTTTATATTACTATTTATTTCATAGTCAATCATTAAACTATACAAACAAAATAGAACAATGTGAACTTCAAAATAGACACGATAGTGGCAAAAGATTAATCTCTAACGAATTTGACATCAAACTGATCTCACATTATTCTGGTGACGAAAACATCCAAAAAAATACACAATGATTCTTTCTTCTTAGTTAAAAGTACAAAAGTTCTTGTAAAAATCAAGCAGAAACAACGTTTTATCTGATTGGTGCCTGAATCCATCTAATACTATGATCATTATTCTCTTTTTCTTTTTTTATGTTTATCTTTTCGATTGAAAATGTCACTAAAATTCAAGGTACAAAGTCTTAAAACCAGGAGAATATGTTGAAAACCAGCTCCTGGCATCAGGAGATTTGGCAGCTCTGAGTAAGATATTGTTGTAGACCTAGTAAGGTCCTATGAATATCGTTTTGATATACACTCTTCACTTTTATGAAAGTCTTCGCTCTATCGAATAGCTATACTCAAAGAAAATAGAGAATAGAGCATAAATAAGCTACTAAGATTTTCAGGTCGGGTCGAGTTGGGTTCGGATTCCGAAAGTTCAACCCGCGCACGACTCTAGAATCAAGTATGTCTAATTTTACTAATTAACAACACAAACATCTCAATTGTAAATATTATCTAAAAGATCCTTCAAAATAAATGAATGTGAATACAGAAACATTTCCGTTTAGTTCACTTGTTTTCTTTTCAATTATTCAATCTTGTTTATGCTGAAGTAATGACATTCATGTTAAAACCAAATGCTTTCTTTCTTAGACTAAATTTTAGTTAACCCTTTGAATTTGTATTACTGGTAGGAGTGTCAAATAATAACCGAGAATAAATTACTAATGACATTTTTCTATACTTTTACTTGACATAAAGCTAGAATTTTCATTACATATATTTGTATCAAAGCAAGATTCTTCATTTTTCAAAGTTTCAGCTCATTAGGCTAAACGAGTGCTGAAATTCATGACTTTTTGTATTTAATTTCTGTAACATCGATAAGATTCTATACATTAATACATTTCTATATAGTTAAAACAAGTTATCTACTATGTCATGATCGACTAAATGATAAAAATTTCGACATTCTATGTCAAAGAAAAGTATGAAAAATATCATTGATAATTTATTCTCAGTTATTATTGAACTCTCATTATTAACTTTTAATAGAACTTTTTCTTTCAGATTATATGATGATAGTTTGTGTTATTTTAGTTTGTTGTAAACACTTCACATCAAACAATACCCTAAACAATAAAAGAATACATTAGTTTTTCGTTTTGTGTTTTACAATGTTTTTTTATTAAAATCTCTTTCTATACTAATGTGAAGTACCTGTTTTAAAAGAAACAGAGAGAGAGAGAGAACGAGCAACAGATAATGTCAAATAAAATGAGTAGTCATTATAGACTGACTTATTTGAATTGTGACAAGAAAGAATTCATTAATACTATATTTACGTCAAGTAACATTGATGTGTCATTTCACTCTGACACATGCTACATACAGGTATCAGCATAATATTACATTAGATCGAAATGTCACTGAATTTCATGTTTTACAGAGCATCCGTCAGGAGCATATCGCATTGACATAAGAAATGTCTATGATTGTTGAAATACATTGTGTAGAAAGTCTATTTGATTATGTTATAAATCTTAATATATAGGTCTGGTTAAGGGTAATCATGATGTATCGAAGCAGCCAATATTGAGAGGAAGTACTATGATACTTTTTCCTAAGAGAACACAAGAATAGCATTTTTTTATTTGATTGCAAGTGTTCCTGAGAAGATCATCACTAAGAGTACTGCTATAGTTTCGAATATAGCATTATCAATGAATTTTACACTGATTGGAAGCTTGTTTACAATAAGATCTATGAATATGACTGATAAGCGTGATAGGATGATTGCGAACTATAGAATTAGGAAATAATTTGATCAATCTAGATATATAACAGCATATTTTCAAGACTATCCAATGAAAACTTAGTATGATTAAAATGTAATAAAGTTTCTAAATCCCATAGTCATAATCGAAAGATCAAATCTGATTATTCTATAACAAAATAGAAATTGTAATTGATTCAAATCGGATTATGGATGAGTACCATTGGATTACTGTATTCTAAAAAATAATCAGCTTTTAATTTATTCTAATTTTCATTTTGTATCAGAATAGTTGAATTGAAAACGTTGATTATAATCGATAATAAACTAGTTATAATCCCATAAAAAAAAAGATTGCAAGATCTTCTGACTTTTTTCCAATTCTGCACTTTTCTAGATCGCAACCTCGTTAAAGTGTAGATGTGGATGTGAGTCTTTCATTCAACCATACCTACTCTTGATAAAGCATATTCGAAATATTAGGAAATACAAAAAAAACCATACTGTCAAATTGATTCTATATAACTATTGTTTTTTTTTCTTTTCCTGGTGATGTTTGCGATTGGTTTAGAATGATTTTTTTGATTAATCGATGTGAAAAAACTTGTTGAAAATTTGGATCAAAATATGAATACCATTATCATACAACAGGATATATTGGAAGGGAGTTCATTCGTCGTGATGTCTTCAACATTGTTCACGTGATCTTTTTCATCATTACCTTTGGTTTTTGATTGAATCAGATTGATCCCAAAACGTCTCTGTCTTTTTTGTCAACATTGATTTATTTGATTCGAAAAGTAATCCAATATCAAGAAATGTTTATGTTGATATTTGCGAGAAAGAGATCTTATCAACGATTAAATAGTATTTATTAGCAAAAACAAAAAGTTATACAGCTGGTGGATGTCATTAACAAATAGGGGACATAAATATCAATGAATTTTTCAAAGGTCCTTCATTCCTCAAATATCAATCTTGAACTAGTTATATTCGAATCGCATGAAATTCTTAGGGTATATATGTAGTGACATTTTCACGAAATATTCAACAAACAAAGGTAAACAAAAATAGCTCATTTGTCAACCCAACATATTCTGCAAGTCTTCATCCTATATCCTTAATTCTTGTTTTGTATGAAAAAGCAATCTTTTTAAAAAGATCTTATGTTTTAAGGGATGAAAATAGAATGTCTCAAAAAAGTCCCAAAAAGAATGATGGTCAATCTATGTGTGAAGGGACTCTTTTATATAATATTAACAAAGTCTAACGCAACAAAGAGTCTCTGTGATATTCTGTTTCAAACAAAAAAAAAATGCATTGGTTCAGAATTAAGCTTCTTCCAGAATTTTGGATATACACAATCCAAAAAATATAGACTAAGAAAAAGATTTCCTGCTTCATCTGAAAGAAACATTTTTCAAACAGAAAATGACAGAAATTTTTTCAAAAAAAACAACATGACATATAAAAAATGATTTCATTTATGAAAGATCAAATCTCAGCTATCTTCTCATGCATTTATCTTAATTTTCATGCTTTTGACATAAATTGAATTGTTTTCCAGGAAAGGAAGTGGGTTTTAAAATAATCTGGTATTAAATTGACATTTGTTAATAAATATGTCAAATTTTTAAAAATAAAGTAGCTTCAAAGTAAGTAATATGGCAAAGATAAGTCACATATGTCATTTATTTTTTTTTTTTTGAAAAAAACTTTGATTCTAGCTTAACATAATTTGTGAAAAGAAAGAAAAAGGCAAACAGAGAATTTTCTGAAGTCAAAAGAATAAGTCTCTCAAAATCACAAATAGAAATTCGAAGAGTAAATGAAATAAAATCTTTTTAATATTGGAGGATATTATCAAATGATTGGACTATATTGAAGACAATATTTTTATTGAACTTAAAATGTATAGTTGAAATAGATATGAATAGAAAATGAAAAGAAAAAGTCGAGCGCAAATAATATTTCTTTTTAATGTTTATCATTAAATTCAGAAGAATTTCGAGTATGAAAATTTCTTTTGTAATCAAAAGTTTTTCCTGAATGATTTGATAATTTATACTTGTACTTTGTATTAAAAATAAATCTTCTGAATTTTAATTATTTCATACAGATTTCATTTATGAAAAATAAAGACTACATTATTTATTTGTTATGTTGTGTCTATTTTGATGACATATTTTAAAGGTTTGAAATAAAAAACGAAACAATTCCATTGAGCTCTTTACTCATTAGATTATATATCGAATTGAACAATCATTTAATACTAATATAAGCGATACTACACATAGACAGACAACAACTATTTTTTTCTTTACAATAAATGATAATATGATTAATAGAAATCTACGGACAAACGACATAAACTAAATAAAAATTTCTTAAAAGTATATTAAAAATTCATTTTTTATTAATTGTGGTAGATTTTATATTTTTCAAACTAGTTGTAGGATAAGATACCATTTGATTAGTTCTCAATGGAGTTGTTTTTCGACATAAAAATAATATTTTTGCTTCTTTTCTGAATGATGTTGATGAAGCAAAAAAATCAAAAAATGGACATGCAAATGTTATATAACATGTAATTGAAACAATATTTGTTATCATAAGTTCAATAGCTCTTTGATTAGTAGATTTAGCCATTTTTGCAGTAAATATTGAATATTCTGCAAAAAATATTACATATGGTAATGTTGAAAAAAGTATAATTAGAATTTGTATAAGCATTATTGATGTTAATTGTTTTTGAAATATTTGTCTTTGACGAATTATTTGTAATTTATTTGTATTTCTATATGTCAATAGATCTGTTATTATCAGAATTATACTTGGTAATAAACCATAACAAACAGGAAATGCAAAATATATTTGATAATTAGTAAAAGCTTGATTTTCAACATATCCCATGGAGTAAAGAAAGGGGGGGGGGGGGCGATAAGCGATGAAATCTGCCCCCTCCTTTAAAATTTGAAACTCAATATTTCTTTCAAAATGTATAGCCTACTCTACGTTGACTACACCCGTATAATTAGAAGTGTTCTATCGTTTCTTATTTTTATAAAACCAAAGTTTTCTTGTCGACCAGTGACTGAGAAAACTTACTTTCGAGCAGTTTGGGCGAAAGCGTTCGTTAGTACCGTTAAGTACCCAATAGCATTAAAATCAGATATAACCTTATTGATTTAAGTTTTTCATGTTGCACATCTGTTCGAAAACTTAAGCTAAAAGAATATTTTCTGGATCCTTCGCAAGATCATACGAAATCAACGACGGTTGGTACAATTGAGTAGCTGACATATTTATGTCTGGATACAATAAAACACATTTTCAGATTGCTAATGAACCTGTTTGTCCGTTGTTTAAAGATTTATTACAATACAAATACGATTTATTTTTGGTTTCTAGAGATCATATTCTCGTATACTTTGATAAAATATTTGTCATCAAGACCATTATAGTTGATTAAGATTTTTTTTTATAAATTTTGATTTATTATTAGACAATAAACAAAAACACATAAACAAAGTTTTTACATAGATAATTAAGATGAACTTAATCTAAGATATGTACACTTGAAAATAATCTAGATTTGTTTTATGAAGAAACTACAAGCAAGTCGAGAATGTACTATCTCATATGTATATACATATGTCAGTATTTTATTGCAGAATTCATATAATCTTGGAAAATTTCTAATTCTATATTGAACATTTTAAATATCGAATTGAGTGGAACTTTCAAGTCACAACACAATTTTAATTTTTGAAATTAATATTACATTTGTAAATTCATATTTTCGTGAATTATGTGAATCAATTGACGTTTCATTCGTTAACGGCATAGCTTCACAGAATAACAAAGCGTGTATCGCTGAACTGTAAACTTCTCAAGAGCTACATTTTATGTATAACATGTATGTTAAATTTTTTCAGTCATCCTTAAATATTCAATCGCATAAACCGTTATTCGGAATAGCAAATAAAGTTAGCAGCCGATTTGAGTAATTGCAGCGACAATTCCTTCAGAAAATTGTTCCAAACGTTCTAATCCTTGTTACAACTACAACTTGATGAACTCTATCTAATGCTGCAATTAGTTTCTGTAGCCAAATGATGGTTCCAAATATCCCAAAATACTGATATTTTCTATTCCATTTTTGACAATCAATTCTAGTAAATTCAGTGGCGATTCGTTCACAAGCGTGCTTCAAGTATTCCAATGTCTATTCCAAGAATAACTCGACGAGCTCGATTCAATTATATGCTCAGATCTTCCAAAATCAAAACTATGATTTTCAGAACTATCATTTAGTCTACAGAAACTCTGATTGCAGTATTAGATAGAACTCATCAAGTTGTAGTTGTAACAAGGATTGGAACCTTTGGAACAAGTTCTTGAAGGAATTGCCATTGCAATTACTCAAGTAGGCTGCTAACTTCACTTACGTTAATTCGGACGAGTTACCATTAAAACCTAGCGTTAGTGTGATGTGAAACTGAAACGAACATCGTTTGATCCCATATATATTTTTCCATTTTGACGATGTCAAAATCATACAGTTATTTTTAACAATGAAATGAGACAATTTATATATGCGTTTTCAGACATAAGAATTTCCACTTAAATATGCTTCGAGTTATCAAACAATTTAATTTACTGTCATTAGTGATGTGACAGAATACGAACAAACTCTGTTGTGATTCTTTTATTTTTCTGCAAATGTTCAATCAGTTACCATGAAACTTAGAGCTTCTATTTTTCAAAGATAGTTATTTCAAAACTACTTTGTTCTATTTTCATTTGCAAGCGCTGACCAGATCATACGATTAGGAAGAAGAATTGGGAGGATTTTCACTGCCGAAATTTTCTGTTTCATCGAGCCTTTCTCTCTGAAAAGTTTTTTGTTTTTTGTTCAGTGAGTTTATTGCCTTTTTGTACAGAAAAAATATAAGAAAAAACTTTCTCTCTAGGTTCCAGCGAAGGATCTAGGATTTTTGAGTATGCGATATCTCGTCTTTAGAGCATGG